GGTCTGCCACAAGCGGGCGGCAGGAGCGGGGCTGTCAGCATCAGCTTGTAGATGGTATTTTAAACTCGATGCGCTCTGAAACTACGGGGCGGCCGAGGACAAAAAATACACATGCGTTAAAATAATTAGTGGCGTTAATTTTTTTTTGCGTTAACGCGTTATTAACCCGTTAACTTGACAGCCCTAATATATATATATATATATACACACACGTTAAGGGTTTCAATTAGGGATGCACGATATTGGTTTTTGAAACCGATACCGATAACTTCCTGCTTCTCAAGACCGATAACCGATAATAATATAATATATATATATATTAAATGTACCTGTAGTTTTGCACACCTGGTGGTAAAAAAAAGACTAGTAGTGAGCAAATGACATGAGCATTACTACTATGAACAAAACAAAGCCAAGAACAGATTTGACTCTCGTCAAGCGCCATCATTTCTATGATGAAGTTAGAGATCGTTTTAGCCCTGGGGTCGTCTCTGGCAAACTTCTTGCCTTTTTCAAAAGCCTCGTCGATAGGTAAAAGCCCCGGTGCCTTTGCAGCTGGCTTTGGATTCGCCGCTAGTTTAGCAGCGCAGGCGTCTTCGTACGCTTTTAACACACCATCGTAGCATGGCGATGTTTCAGGTGACTAATCAGGTTGGAAGTATTATAGCTCGTTGCCTTTTTCCCTCCTTGTGGAACTCTGCATTTGTTAATACAAATAGCAAGCGAACTATCTAACTCTGAAACTTTGAAATAGTCCCATACTACCGGCGACATGTTTGTTTACTGTCCTGGCTTCACGGCCGCACACCATTTACGTCACAGCCAGGCATGAGTTAGGGAGCGCTGGATTTGTGAAAAATTAATTCCTAAACCACTAATACCACAGTACTGGCAAAACGGGAGGAGCCGAGTGAAAAACAAGCGCCCCTCATCCCAATCCACCCACACCGCAGTATTTTCTTCTTTTTTTTTACCCAAAAAATATATTGTATATTATCGGGGCTATTAATACTTTTATCGGGTTTATCGGGATGACGTCATAATTCCTAATATCGGACCGATAATTATCGTGCACCACTAGTTTCACTCGAAAAACAATTTGGGTACAATCACCAGCTGGGGATGTTGGTTTTAGCAATTCAAGACAAAAACATTCACAGGTCCATGAAATGTCGCCAGATTGGTGTAAAAATGTAGTCCGTCAGTGTCAACCGACCTTGACACTGCAAGCCTTTTAACATTTCTCTCATTGTTCTTTGCCTGTTTTCTGTTTCTGAACAGGGGAGTGATGGCAGCGACAGAATGCTACATTGTGCACGAGATCTACAACGGGGAGAATGCGCAGGACCAGTTTGAGTACGAGCTGGAGCAGGCACTGGAGGCCCAGTATAAATACATTGTCATTGAGCCCACGCGCATCGGAGATGAAACGGCCCGTTGGATTACCGTGGGTAACTGCCTGCACAAGACGGCCGTGTTGTCAGGCACTGCTTGCCTCATGACGCCACTTTCCCTGCCCATTGAATACACGCGCTACGTGGCGTTGCCCGCCGGCGCCCTCAGTGTGGCCTGTTCTGCCCTCTACGGCATCTCATGGCAATTTGACCCCTGCTGCAAGTACCAGGTGGAATACGACAGCCAAAAACTCTCGCGGCTGCCCCTGCATACGCTCACCTCCTCCACGCCCGTGGTTTTGGTACGCAGGGATGACGTCCACAGAAAGAGACTCCATAACACGATAGCACTGGCCGCCCTGGCGTACTGCGCCAAGAAGATCTATGAACTCTATGCGGTATGAGCGCACTCTGAACAGGGTTTAAGAAGCAACAGGAAAAAAGGAAAAAACAAACAAAAAAACAGAACCTATCCAACCCCAGATGTAAGGAAAGTGGAAGTCCCGATCACACATGGTGGGGGCTTCCATTTTGAACTTTGATCAGAGGGATATAGTTAAAACTAGAAGGAATTGTTTTTTTCCCTTACGTTTTTTTTCTTAATATGTGACAACAGCAGCACACTTATCTCCTTAGTACCCTTGTGCATCCTTCCCTGCGCCCTCGACTTGCTATCCTTGACACGCAAGCAAGTGCACAAGGGTACGGCAGCAGTTCCTCTGGATTGAATTGTTTTGCAGTTGAAAAGGACCGACATGTTTTGAGTACCAAGCTCTTTCCCTCGTAGTTTAACTGTACCCCTTTCCTGCTGATCAGTACACCACCCTTTCATTAAACATTAGGTTATTTCAAACTAACTTTTCTGTATTTTATTTTACTTTTTTTTTTTTAATAAATGGATTCTCAACATTGTCCAGAGAAGAGCAAATAACTGCAACTTATTTGACAATGTGTCTTGTTCATGTAGATATTCTTGTTTAAAAGAGTGTAAGAAAGATCTTATGTGGCTCAATGTCCTCTTTTGAATCACTACATAAATACTTACTTTTAGAAAACCACACTTCCCACATACTTTTATTAATGTATATTACATTGACATTAGGCCAAACCTTCATAATTGAAATTAAATATATTTGACACTAAAGACAGCCAATTATAAATTCATACTTTCTTGTACATGTTAGCCAATGCTTGTTATGAGTTGCTGTTTAGATTAGACGTTTTAATTTGGGGTCCCATGAAGAGACGTGCAACAATTGAACAATAAAGTGACATTTAATTGGAATACCAAGAGTGACAGTATTGTTGTCGGGGTCACTGATTGAAAGGACAGCAGGATGAGGATTGTTGACTTTGCCAGCAGGACTTGAGCAAAATACAACTTTTCATAAAGAATTTCCTAAATTTTGTGTAAATACGTTAAAGGTCCATCAAGAAATGTATTAAATAAATTGTAAACCCTGCTTCAAGGTTTGAAAATGGGTGGTGTTTCAGTAAGTATTGTGATGCAAACAGACAGCTATCAGTCTAACATCAGTCTGTGGACAATTTCAGACGTCAACAGTGAATCTATTACATCCATCACACTGGTTTAAAAGGATAGTGAAAAGGTATTAAGAGTTTACTTCATGATGCTCATCTGCTTTTTCTTTTTAAACCAGTAAAGGGGGCAAAAAGTGATAGTTTCTTCCTACATTTGTAAAGTGTAGAACAAAGACTATTGGTTTTAACTTGGAGAAGATAGTAAAGGTAAATTGTGCAATTGAAAACAAATAACATTTACGCACAAAGTCTGCAACACATTCTAATGTAATTTCCTCTCACCATACATATACCTGTATGGGACGGGCAGATCTGAGGCAGAGGACGGCCTGACAGACTCATTATCTTACTGATTTCCAGCCAGAGCAGTCTAATTATCTGTCAGCTGACCGGCTGCTACATGAGGCTGTTTGTCAACCATTTTAAGGTAGCGATGCTTGGTCTGCTGGAATAAGAATGCTCCAGTCATCAGAAAATACAAATAGCCACTTTTTACTTATTCTCCCAAGAAAAAAATCTGAGTTCCTGTGTAAATGCAATACTAGAGAAATCTATTGACACATGCAGATTGTTTGCAGTGATGGAGGCTAGTATCTCAAACAAAAGTGAAAATAAAACCACTTTAACGTTCTGCTGTTGAAACAGCACAGCCATTATGTAATGTTTCAAAACCAAATGTTATAATGAAAGTATATTGTTAGATAAATACAAAAATAAAGCTCTTGATATTAATTTAGCTGCTGATATTCTGCATAAAGTCAAGCCTGGACGAATAATTGTTTTTTGACACAGAAATGGCAACTTAAGCCCATGTGTGTTAGCTCCTTCAGGCTACTTGGTTATTGAACTTCAACTCCCACAACTCCTAGCGCGGCCGGTAGTCCTTCAATAATCTCCCTCCGGTCCCCTGGTCCGTCCATTATCGTGTTCCTGCCCGGAACTGCTTTTATTTCCGACTCCTGTGGTGTTCGTGCAGACCATGGATGTATAATAGACAGACAGGCAGCAACCCAGGTGAGTTTAGAGTAGACCAAACACGAAAACTAGTGTTTGATTTAAGGACGTATCAAACATATGGAAGCTATCTAGCGTTAGCATTTGCGACAGCAGTTACTTCTGAGTTACACATGAGAAGCCTGGCGATGCAGTTTATGCTGTGCTCATTGTGTTTTGTTATATTTCAGCTAGGGTTTTAACATCTTAACTCTCTTATATTGTGTTCTCCTGTGAAAGGTGGAACAAGACCTTATCACCACTTTTGTTAAACCAGGTATGCCCTCCTAAATGTGCTTAATTGTGCAGTAAACTTGACATTTCAAACAACTCATATTTCTCCTGAGCCTGTATGAAGTTCAAGTTATTTCGGATGCTTTATCAGGAGTATGTAAAGATGCAAGGGCATACACAGAAGACAGAAGACACGGAAAGATATTCACAGTATGCATACTGTTTTTCACTGTGTCCCATTTTACTTGACTTGCTCGTTAAATGACTTGTTTATAAACAAACATGATTTGAGGATGTGAAGGGAATTCAATTGCTTACTTTTCTTATGTGGCTTATGAGTATCCTTTGTAGGCAATTACAGAATATGCTTATCTTGCCATTATTATGTAGCCTATGGTAAAGGGGACTAAATACAAATCCATTATATTTTAACTTTTTCACTCTCCTGGTTTTAAAATAAATGATCCTCCTGATACTCAAAACATGTTGGCGCGCGTGTGTGTGAGTAATCATTACATTGACTTGTCACTGTTGCCATGCTGGTTGTTTGAGTTGTGCTATGGAGACAGGACAGGTGGTAAGGATTTAATTGAATGCCTCAGATGATCAAACATTCACAATGCTTTTGGCAAAGGGCCTTCAGAGCTTACAGTACTGTACTGTTATTTATTATTATTGATGGTGCACAGATATATCGTCTGAACATGTTGGTTGGGTGACATCGTTGTAGAAGAGCATTGGATTTAAATGGTTTAATATTGCAATTAACAATATTCAAACTCTTCCTAACTGCATTTATTAATCTTGTGTCTACAGGTAGCAGGCTGAGTTTCAGTCATGGAGCGCATCATGGGAGGAGGTGTGTTTCAGATGGTTTTAGCTAGTGCCGGACTCTTGCTGCTCTATCGGATCCTCGTGCGCCTCAGACCCGGCACTGCTTGCAGGACGCTGTGGTGGTCATCACCGGGGGCAGCTCTGGACTGGGGAAAGGTCGGCCTCCTGCTCATTTTCTTTCTTCACTTTAGGTCACACGTACATTGCTAGTATTTGATGTGCAGCAGTTGATGACTGTTAAGTGATGTGTTTCAGTGATGTGGTGCATGTGCTTCAATTCCCTGATTTGATTTTCGCGCCATAATAAACAAGTGTGTGTTTTGTGTTATAGAGTGTGCCCGGCTGTTTCACGCAGCAGGTGCCCGTCTGGTGCTGTGCGGACGAGATGCAGGCCGCCTGCAGCAGGTGATCCAGGAGCTCACCGACAGTTCAACAGGATCACAGCGTCAGGTGAGCACACAAACACAGACACGTAGTTAGACATAACCAAAGATCTAATGGTATCGGGTTCTCAGGCCATCAAAGCCTCTGATGGTCTATTTATCTCACCAGAGTTCCCTGCCTGATGTCTCCAATACCAATATAACCAGGGGTGCACATAACTTTTTGCCCTGGTTCTCAAAGGAGCACCTGGAGATGTTGCTTGGTGCTCATCTTAAAATGAAATAAACCGTAACTTTTGAGGGGGTCTTGACTTTATTTGCCAGACACACGGCACTGAACACACATGCAGAGGTGAACACAGAACACACTGCAGAGTGAACACAGAACACATGCAGAGGTGAACACAAGACAACATTAGCACGACCAGTAATCCTACAAGCTGTCATCACTCCTCCTGACTGTTCTCCTCACTGTCTTCCTCTCTGTCAGACATGGTAGCTGATGATGTAGGCCTACTACTTCCTCTGGTTGAGTCTGCGATTAGCTGCTTGCATCCACAAGTCAACAGCTGGGTTTGGGTCGAAAGTCTCTGTTGTCATCTTAGACAAGTGGATGTAATCAAATAAGTATGTGAACATAACCAATAACCTACCATAGCCAATAACAAATGAATGTAACTTATTTGATTTGTGTTGTTCATTCATATCTTATTTTACCTTAACATTTATTTATGCATTTTTTTTATCTCTCCAGTTTTAAAGGATATGTTGGTTACTGTCCTATAGTATACATTGGAATGATTTCAAACCTGTTTATCCCAATAATTATAAAGGAGTGCCTTGGAAATATATGTTTACATAAATTGTGACCAAACCGTTTGAACTTAGACTAAAGTGAACTATCTAAACACTCAAGAGTCCTTTACCTCACTGAGCTGTAGTTATCAGTCTGACTGGAGAGGACTCTCCCTCCACATTATTGTAGAAACATCTTCTTCTTATATCCGTTAGAGCAGCTAGCACGGCACCAGATTCGAATAACAACAGCGCTGGTACCGGTGCACCCTCACTCGCTCACTCGCTTTGGCTGTGAGCTGCGGGCGCCAGATAAGCCAACATCCCCCACTTTCATCACTTACAGCGCCCATTGTACAGGGCAAATGAAACGTGTAACCGGGGTGAAAAGGGTGTTACATTTACTTAATTATGAATATTGTTACATCAAGGCCGAAAATTAGGATGAGCCCCAACGGTCAAAATAGTTTTTTTCCCTCCCAGAACTGCCAGCGCAGCACCTCCCCAGATCTGGCGCCCTAGGCGAACATCTAGCCAGTGCTACTGGCCGGCCCTGAGTTCATATCATGGTTCATATGCAACTCGCAAATATCTTTCTCTCTCTCTCTCCTCTCTCTCTCCTCTCCTCATCTCTCCTCTATTTTCTTTCTCTTTTCCCTTCTCTCTCTCCCTCTTTCCTCTCTCTCTCAATGTTGGTACAAAATGCGCTTTGTTTCAAATGACCTGGTGCTCTTTTTTTGGCGGAGGTGCGCATGCGCACCTGCGCACCAGTTATGTGCAGCCCTGAATATCACACAATAACTTTATAATGTTTTTTACCATTGTTTCTCAGAAATGTTAAATGCCCCCTTATGCACATTTTCAGGTTCATATTTGTATTTTGCCTTTAAAATAAAGGCATTTGCAGACCATTTACATGCACAAAAACCTATGTAACACACTCTTCCCCGGAAAGGAGAAAAAGCATATTAGGGGCTCTAATTTATCTTAGTTGGATTAGATTTGGTATAATGTAAGTTCACAACTCAACAATATACATAACGTAAGTCTTGACATGTTTTGAAACCTGGTGCAGATAAAGCTAACTGTTCTGTTTGTTCCACCACCAGACCTACACCCCCTGCAGTGTGACCTTTGACCTGGCTGACACGGACACTGTGGACAGAGCTGCAGAGGAGATCCTGAAATGTTACGGACACGTGGACGTCCTCATCAATAATGCTGGAATCAGTTACCGCGGCAACATACTGGATACTAATCTCTCTGTTCAGCGGGATGTGATGGAAACAAACTACTTTGGGCCCATCGCTCTAACTCAAGGTCAGTGAGGAGCACTTTTGGAAGCCAGTAAGAGTTTGATGTTGTTTATGGGATTAGAGAAAACATAATGGAGCCAAACCATTGAGAGGTTATTTAAAGGACCTTAAACCAGAATAAGGAGAGAAATGGCTTACACATATCCAAGCTAAAGCAGATTTCTGAGGGGAGGAAGCGCTCTTATCCTAATTTTCTCAGCTCCCCGCCTTCTTCTTTCCTCCCATTACATTGCATTACATCCCTCCACAGCGCTCCTGCCCTCCATGGTTCAGAGGCGCAGCGGCCACATCGTCGTCATTAGCAGCGTCCAGGGCAAGATGGCCATTCCTTACAGATCTGCATGTAAGTTTTCTTTACTCGTTTTGTAAATCAAAGGAAAACCCAAATGATGTTTCCATCTGGTTGACTGTAAATGACGCAGGATTCTGGTTTTGGTCAGACGCGGCCTCTAAGCACGCCACCCAGGCTTACTTCGACTGCCTACGGGCCGAGATCGAGCGCTACGGGATCCAGTGACGGTGATCAGTCCCGGGTACATCCGGACCAGCCTGTCCCTTAACGCCGTCACAGGAGACGGATCCAAGTATGGAGGGTGAGGCAGTGAGCGCTAAGAAATGATCAATCAGTGGGAGAAATATGTAGACACAATGGTATAATATGTAACATTTCCAAATTGAAAATTCTACGTACAACAATTTTCACACCCAGAGATATCAGTGATTTTTATTCAAGAAAACGTCCTGTTTCGTTTGGTGGCCTGTAATGGCGTCGCTCTCCCTTTGCACAATTTTTGTTGTTGTTATTTTATCTAAACTATCATAAATCGCCTTTTATCCAGTTTTAAGACAAATGTTTCTGATACTTTTTATAGAACTTGCATGTTTTTAACTTTATATTTTAACCATATAAAGGATTTTCAGATTTCTGGATCTTAAGTTATCTGAGAGAAAAGCTGAGCAGATGTTCGCAGCAGTCAAACCGTTTTTTTAAATGGCTGTATTTAGTATTTTGACTGGTTTTACTCACCCTGTCTAAGTTGTTTTTGGAAGGAGGATGCCACTACTTCAAAACATGGCTACCTTTTTACGATAAAGGTGTAGTAATCCTATCCGTAAGAAGCTGACCGCAGTGACCGAATCCTATAACTCTACTACAACAAACTCCATAATAAGACATTCATAAATACAAAACAATTTAAAATGGAATATAAAATGATAAGTGCCACCAAATTAAATGAATTATTTTCTTTACTAGGCGTCCTACTGACTCTCCTGTGTCATTGACATGCTTCTTGTTTGTGCAACACAGTTTTGGATAAAACCACAGCGTCGGGTCGGGACCCCCTGGATGTGGCCCGGGCGGTTCTGAGAGCGGTCCGTCAGAGGAGCAAAGACGTTGTTCTGGCCGGTCCTCTGCCTAGTCTGGCCCTCTACCTCCGCACTCTGTGGCCCGCACTCTTCTTCAAACTCATGTCCTCTCGCGCTCGCAAGGAACAGAAACCTAAAGACGAGTGATGGAGGAGAGGAAGTGGAGCGCTCACCACCTAAAGGGAGTGATGGAGGAGAGGAAGTGGAGCGCTCACCACCTAAAGGGAGTGATGGAGGAGAGGAAGTGGAGCGCTCACCACCTAAAGGGAGTGATGGAGGAGAGGAAGTGGAGCGCTCACCACCTAAAGGGAGTGATGGAGGAGAGGAAGTGGAGCGCTCACCACCTAAAGGGAGTGATGGAGGAGAGGAAGTGGAGCGCTCACCACCTTGTCACTACCCGATCCGTCCCCCTGCCCGATCGGTACTGCGCATGTGCGAGATGGTCCGCCATATTGGACACAGTGGCTTTTAGCAAAGCTCAAAAAGAAAACGAGAGAGAGATGAGTTATTTTTATTACAACGTGACTTCACTATTATTTAACAACTCTTTTTATTGGGTTATTTTATTTGGGGTTAAGTACATTGTCAGAATAAGTGTGGAATGAATTTAACTTCTGTTAGACAGCCATCATACTGAATAAATATTTACTGTGAATGTGTGCAAAAATGTATGGCATATAGCTGTCTAACAGAAGTTAAATTCATTCCACACTTATTCAGCTCTTTCAGACATGAAGACACCAGTTTAAAAGTAACACTCATACTGTCACGACTCAAGCTTTGCTGGAAAGACGGTCAGTTTGTCATGCTGTGTTTCCAAAATGCTTTAACTGATCTATTTGAGGACCAAAACTGTTTAATGTGTAATTCTGTCAGGTATGGGGAAAAAATACTGTCAGTGTCCGAGAATGACTACTTTTTCAATTGTTTCTGTGTCCAACTCAACATCAGCATTACAAACCACCTTTAAACTAAATAAAGAGAACAGATGAGAATTATGTTGCAAACATTTCTTTTAACTGCTTTCCATCTCGTTAGCAGAAACCAGTTTAGGAGAGAACCTAATCTACTAAAATACTGGATTTGATAAAAGTGTTTGAGCTGTTTTGGCAGATGATCTACTCACAGCAGCGGCATAGATATCACAAAGCACACCTTGTTTCTGGGTCAGCTTTACCACCACTGTAAATGATTCTCTAAACAAAGTTATTTTAATACCTGCAGGGGAAGGAAATACTGCTTATCGCTGACCGGAGGAAAGAAAGCTTTTTTTATGGTCGGTTTGATTTCCTGTTATGGTCAACGTGTTTTTTCAGCTATGTTGTAATACTTTATTTGAGTCACGTGAGTAGCAGCACATCCTCTGTGTTTCTGTGCAGTGTATTTGTGTTACAATAATTAAAGGAGCTCAATTATTCTCATTTTCAGGTTTCATAACTGTATTTGTTTGCCTGTACTGTGACGTAGGCTTACAATTCTTTAAAAAGTGTGTAGGAAAATAAGTTTCAATGCAAGGTACACACAATGAAAACCAAAAGAAAGCAGGTTTTTAGAACTCTTTATAAGCAGAATAAAAACACTTTTTACAAACTGAAAACTTTAAAACAGGTTTTTTTCCTTTTTAGATGTCTTCTTAATATTAAGTTAAACAAAGAAAATTCTGAAATGTTTATAATAATAATCCAAATGATAATTTACGTTATGTTACAGAAGCGCAGTGAATACTGGAATCGACATTTGTACAAATAAATCCTTCGATCACAAAAACAAACCTGCTGTTTATTCCTTATTAAAAATCATCTTCGTTGTATCTAGTGTGAGAAGATGAAGCCTTTTTTCACAAACGAATAAACAGCACAAGGGCTTTTTCATCATAGAGTCAAAGCCCTGAAGGTGCATGGAGGAGACAAACATTTAAGATGTGGAATGACAACAAGAGCTCTCCTACAATTTACCCTCGTGTTGATGAGACAAAATGTCCACAATACTGCATAAAGAGGATGCTGGTTCATCGAAATGTGCAACAAATCTGGATGCAAGAAGTCTGAAATTGTGTGTTTATGTAATGGTGAGACGTTAGCCATAGTGTTTTGTTAGCATCAGTATTAGCACTTAATGGGGAGTTATCGTCTCAGCACAACCAATCAGAAGACTTTACTTTTGATTAAAGAATGACAACACAACGTGTCAACTATGGCTTTAGTGTTTGATTTCTATAAGTTACTTCTGACTGGAAGAGTTGAAAATGAAAGCGTGGTAAGTCACATTATGGGTGAAACATCTCGACTCGCTTCTTCCACGTTTTAAGCGACAACAAACCAACCTGAAGCCCTTAGCAGTCCGTTTTATCATCTCAAGAAATATGAAATGGAATGGCTGCTGGAGAGGATCCTCCAAAAGAAAAGCTGCCTCTTTTTTTTACACGGGACATTTGATCGTAAGAAACCTGATTCCAAACACGCATGGCAGGATATGTTCCTTCAATGCAACAAATACAACCTGAGCATGTGAAACAGGGCCGTATCAAATGATTTTACTTTCCTGCACCTGCTGTGTTATGCTCTACCTTTGCAACCCGATTACCAAATAAAAAGTATTTACTTTTTTCTCAATTCTATTAACATAAAAATCCCCCTCCAGCAGCTGGGGTCTGATCTGCACACTGTATTTTTGGGGGGGCTCATTTTAGAGCGTAGAAGTCACACAGAGAGCGAGAGACGTCACATAAAAGATCAGTGAATGATTTTGTTCAGATATGGCATAGTATTTTCCTGTACATGAGGTTGTGTTTTGTAAACGCATTTGTTTGTTTTTTTACTAAAGTGTTTCTTATTAAAGGGCATCTCAACTTAAAGAACAGTTCAGTGGAGCCAACAAGTTTCAAACTCGCTGTCGAACAACGCTCAAGGCTCACTGTTATTATTGCACTTTTACAAACAGGGCAGGGAGGAAGCTTTGGGAGAGGGGGGGGTCTTTTTTCTCCACAGCCATCTTTTCTCAGTCTTAACGGACTCATGTCCTCCAGACGGCCGAGGGTCGTTGGAGCCTGGTCTCCTCAGGGGGATGGGGCTCCGTCACAGCCAGCTCCTGAGCCAGGTCGTTGAAGCGGGCGATGTAGTCCACGCTGCTCTCACTCATCATACAGGCCAGCTGAGAGTCCATCTGTGGGAAACCAGAGAGTTCAATGTACTGCAGTCTGAACAGCCAAGAATCAGCTACAGACACAGAATCAGCACTTTTGAAACAGAGGGGTTTACGGGATGCTACAATGAAGTGTTTGGTATTTCAGCCAACACTTCAGAGACATGTTTTGTATATATCTGAGACCTATAATATGTGACCCGCTCTATCGAAATCAGTCGTAAGTCGCAACGGCTCATTTCAAAATAACGTGGATTTGCGTAAAAAAATAGTTTTTTCGGGGTCGGTGTTTTGTTTGATTTTAAATAAACAAAGTCTTGGCTTTCAGAATATTAAACTTGTTTTCGGCAAATTCAGATGATAATC